GAATTAACAAAAAGGATTTAAAAAGATACTTGTCACGTATGATGCACGATCCTCGCAGTAGAGAGCGCTATTTATGCAATAGCGAAAATCAGACCTAAAAAAAATCAGGCCTGTACGGGATTCGAACCACTGACCTCTGCGATACTAGTGCAGCGCTCTACCAATTGAGCTAACAAGCCAACTGGGAGTAGACCGTTAAGTTGATTCGTAATAAACCCGTGATGGTAAATCAGATACAATGATTAGTCAGTCTGACTATTTTCGCTTTCCAAATGACACCTATGACTGGACAGGGTTCTATCGATAATTTATGAGGTTTTTCTTTCTTTAATTGCAGTCGGTTGATTGTGTTACCGATTAAGAGTAACAGATTGATATCGATATCTGGGCACAGCCCCATATGTAAAACTACCGTGAAGATTTCAGAGAAAAAACAGCATAAATCGTCTTTTTTACAAAGCTACTTACAAAGGCGCGGTTTTAGAACCCCTTGATATAAGATATAGATTTAATACGACTCCTGGATGAAAGGCACGAATTTACGACCAATGTCAACATCTGTGCACCGGAACTTTAGATGTAAAACCCCTGGACATGAGGTACGATTGTGGTTTCATGTGGGAACCTCTCTAATTTCTGTAGCTGTTTAGACTTATGTGTGCCGCACTGATGAAGTGCCAGAGTGGATGGTTCAAAAAGGTTGGTGGAAGACTGAATTAATAATAATTGATGTCTTCGCTAATATAGGCATAATGCTAAACGATGACAAAGGTTTCCCAAGCAGGTTAACACTGAGGACAATATTTCATTCCAAGCAAACTTCCTCCATCGTTCTGTGATACTTTAGGCCGTGCTTGAAATGTTTTCCTCGAACAATGAGGCAAAATTCCTTTCTCAGAGCGTGCATCCGTTCACTGGTAGTTTCAGTTTTTTTTTTTATTTTTTTTTATTTTTTTTTTTTAACAAATGTGCTTAACTGAATGGTTACTGAAGCAAAGTACGCGAGAAATTGTCATGATAGTTGTTAGTCAGAATCGCTTATCCAGTTTTACTCCTGACTTGCTAGGTAGATATTGGTATCATTGGTATACACTGAACGAAAGACTCTTTTTCCATTTTGTGACCACGAAGCTCGTCTAACATAAAATTTATGGCCTATGTTTTTTCTCACCTAATATCAGTCAAATATATAGCACGGAAATCGCAATTAGTTGAAAGACCACTGAAGAATTTCTTATCTTGTATTTTTTTTAGTAACTCCCCAACGGTTAACGTTTTCACTTAGTTTTTGCCTGGATGCTATAGAAACAATTTACAAAATGAAAGGTACTTTGTTAAAAAGTGAAAGACAATCTTTTCTACCATTATTACAGAATGCAGCATAAACATGTTTCTTTCTAAATTCTGGCCACGATTTTTAGTCTCTAAACAGAGGCTTTGAAATCATAGCGGTATGAAGTCAGAGTAACTTGGATTAAAGCAACAGATCCCATCAGATTACGAAGGAGAACAGAGTAATTGCTGGGCAGATGTCCTTCACTTGTAAAGCCATTTCAAATTCTTGAGTATCTGACTAATGACTTTACCCACTTAAGAATTGTATAAAACTAAAAAAAATTTTGTGATATTGTTTGTGTGACATGCACTCATCAATTCGGATAAACAAAACACTTTCATAAAAAAAACTTTCCTCTAGACTTGTCTTCCGTAAGAATAGATTCAAGTTTACACTGGTATTTTTTTTATATATCGGATTTAAAAAATTCGCGTTCTTCCCTGACTTGCGACATAAAAATTTACGAAAAATAATTTCTTCGTGTAATTTGTTACAAATTTACCCACTTAGTCTAGTCTTGATGACCTTTCTTTTTTAAGTTTAGGTCTCAAAGGCTTATCATACTGTGCTTAGATGCCCGTAGTTTAATCTTGTTTCCATGCTGAGAAACATATGATCGCATTGCTTTTCGCTTCGGCAGCTCGTTGGCAAAAATATGTTTAAGGTGGCGTACCAAGAGTTCAAGTCGTGTGCAACGAAAACTGGAGAACGCATTAGTGAAGAGGTTAGGGCTAATTTCTATATCGTCTGTCAGAATTTTATTTTACATAACAACACACGATGTAAAAACTGAAAAAGCTTTTCCACGCACACAGATAAAGAATTGTTCATCAAGTCCAGCAACACTTGCAACCAACATCTTGCTTTGATATCACGGACTTACGTACCGTTAAAGAAACAGCCTTGTTAGTGTGCGTGGGAATCCGTGAGGTAGCCTTTTCCTAAGTGACTCACTCCTTGCGACTTTAAGAAAAAAACATTTAACTAACGATACGATAAGAAAAAATAATCTTATTTCATCGCGACGTTTTTTACACACAAGGCAAAATGAAATCTGTTGGGATGCTGCCTCTGGAACACTCTTTAGTTTGGTTTAAACGCATCGTTGGCCAAGGACACATAATATCACGTGCCTTCGATGGGAGCACGACTAATTCCGTTCAATTTGCACAATTATATGCATCGATTTCAATCAATTGGCACAAAGGTGTGCTAAAGTCCAAGTTATCAATGGAGCTTTGTGAAATTCTGTCCTCTCGATCATACATATTTTAAAAAGAGGATGGAGTTGCTAGGGAATATTTCTAAGTTGTGTTCTGCCGATTACTATTCGGCTCCGTTTTATCATGTTTTGGGTAATGGCGCAGGAGCTGAATTTGTTTCAAAATATCTAACCTTGTAACCTCCTTCACTGATGTGCAGGTGCCGCGATTATAGATTTGGTCTGGAAGGCATTCTCAAGTAGTTTTACTACCTGCAGTTTTGATGACAAAGAACGTGTCTGTATCAAAAATAGTTTGCTCTGTTCAGAGAATGTTTTGGCTAAAAGATTATTGTGATCGATTGTCCCGTCACAATACTGTCTCAATTTTCACTGTTAAAATTGCATTTTCATAAGGATGCAGACAGGCTTGGAGAAGTTAAGTCATTAAAAGTCTTTTTATTTCAAATTATCAAACAGTAATATGATACTCAGTGAACTTAAAGATGACCAGATTAACAAAAACTTCACACACTTTTTTCGATGTGTTCTTTGCGTGATAGAACGTCTTCCCATATGTTTTGTACGTGGTGGAATGAGACGGTTTATACTTTCAGCTGAACCGAGGCCAAATTGGCCGCGAGGACCTACTCTCCCAAAGAAAATGGTATTTTTCCCGCTGAGAACAAATAATTGATATTGCATCAAATATTACACCCATTTTAACGATCACAAAGACAATAAATTAAAGGAGAAAATGACGAGATTCATTTCATCTAGGCAATTTCTTTGAGATAAGTTTAGAAGTCATTGCTGCTACTGAACGAATTACGCAACATGTAATCTTTCCAAGTAGTTTTTGGCGACGTTTGGAGCAGACTATTTTACTTGAACTGCTTTTCGTGGTTGTTGGTTCTTCTTCTCATTAGATTTGACATGTTACAGCCATTTAGCTTTAGAGGGGCTGTAAGATCTATCATAGATAAGTCATTGTCAAATTTTTGCTCTTTGTTCAGTGTAGTTACATAACACACCTTAACTGCCGACACCGCACCTGTAAATAAAGACTCTCACGTTGTCGAAGTACCTTCTGAGAAATGATTCCGATTAAAATCAGTTCCTTGGGAATGTTCAGGAAATTTCACCAGGCAGGAATACGAGAAAGTGATTAACACGAATGACAAGAATATTTTCAAAAGGTTAATTCCGCTTGACGACCATTCTAGACTTGGTTGCTAGGTCTGTGAATGGCTGTTCACGATTTTACTCTTAACTGCAAATTGTTTTACAATGATTTGATAAAATGAAATAAAATGGTTGTCGGATTAATATTTTGTTCCCAAGCTAAGGACGGATTCACTGACATTCACCGGAAATTGAGGATAATTCTGTCAAATAATTTGTGAGCTGTTAATTAAGAAACACATAAACCGATAGTGAACACAAAAGAAATTTGTTTCGCTTCAGACTGAAAGCAAACCGCACGCGTGAGGTTTTATAAGGTATTGCCTTGCTTTTTGCTAATACTGCAAGGTTGCAGTGAAAGAAACGGTGATAAATCCCGTTTTTACTTCTTTTGCGGTCAATCGTGGTCAGTCTTTTTGAAGAGCCTTGAGTACTTGGGTCCATAAGAGCACCCTAAGGAACATAAATAGATACAGGTAATCTAGAAGGCTTATCAAATGACCACTACAACGCTTTTATATCTAAAAACGAGTCTTAACAACTCGTAAACTGAGGAATGAATTGCTCTTCAAGTCTGTAGTTTGCGTGCACGAGGCGGAAATGGGTGAAGTGCGTGAAGTCTAAAAATTAGTTTTACGCTTTAGGGCAAAAATGCAGATTAGCACACGCTAACAACAGGTAGCAGAACTACGGCACGTTTAGTAATTTCTGTTGAGGCGGTACAGCACCTTTTGGGTAAAAAATTCGGTGTTTCATAATTCCATGTCTCTAGGAATGTAGTTATCGATACCAATTTCTTACTTCCTTTCTGTCACACAAACCAAGTGAAAGTGTTCAAATCACTTCCGGTTAACTTAGTTACCGCTCACGAACCAATAGGAGTCGAATCTTTGCGAGAAATTCTCACCAGAGCGTGAGAACAAAGGGCTTCAGAAACCAATCACGCTAAATTACCACAGGCGTCAAAAACTACGGCTTTTTCCAAATCCAAAAATATATTTATTAACCCGCTAAGAGGTGTCTCCCTCCGCCAGTTTGTACTAGTTGTCACTTGGATAAGTACACGGTAAAAAATTGACGTCAATCCAAAATAAGATTGTTTCCTAGAGGCCTGAGAAGGACTTCAGTGTGTCGATAAAAGAAAGGTAATATATATTTAAAAACATAATATCACAATTAGCGACGGCAAGTCTAGAAAATTCGCTTAATTTCGCCCATCACGCGATGGGGACGTCTAGGTGTCAACGTAAAAAAATTCCGCTTTCTTTGTTTTTATAGATGGTAGTGGCAATTTAACGGAACTTTGGCAGCCGAAGACATGGATGGAACTTGCATGAAACTAAAGGAGGACATTATTTTTGATAACTGTACCCAAATGGATGCTGTTACCTCGCAGCGTGACATGATAGTGATAAATCCCTCAGAAGAGAACGAGCAAGTATTGGAGTCAGCTAAGAAAAGCGAGATTAAAGATACCAGCGAAAGCGCTGACCGTGGCGATCATCCGTTCGGTAACGGAAAGAGCACCTTCAGCGAGGACTCACTTCTCTCCTCGCCGGCTGTTGACCCCCTAAGGGACCGGTGTACCGACTTGACTGTAGACAACGAGTGTAGAATTTGCCAGAGCAGAGGAGAAGAAGTTTTGATCAATCCGTGCAAATGCGCTGGGTCTGCGAAATGGGTTCACGAGAGTTGTCTGGTAAAATGGTTCCAAATTTCCCAAACGTCCTCGTGTGAGCTGTGTTCACGATTTGTGGTCATCAAGAAGCGAACAAAACCGTTCCAACAGGTAAGCGATGCGAGCTTTTTGCGTGAGGCAAAAAAATCTTTAATTTGATCCCATCACATGGTCCCCACGTTTTGTTAGCTTTTAATAGACTTTGTTATATGAAATAGTCCCACGAAACATAAACATCATTTGAATTTTATTTATGCCGGTTTCATTGTTTATATTCTCACGCCCGACTGGTTCACTATCATCACAAAAATCGCCTATCATTTATATTTATTTTGTCATACATTAGTGAGTATAAATTCTTCGTATCCTGTAATGATAATCAAAATGGTAATTTTACTTTTTTAGTGGCAATTTGTTTTAGTGCAAGTTGCGGAGAATGCAAAAGAAACTTCTAAGAAGAGTCCACCCCGTTGAATAATTACCCGTAATGTTTTTTTTTTCTTTCTTTTGGAGAACTGGCTGGCATCCATTTCTCATAGTTAAGTGGGCATGGCGCACTAATATTTTCATTTTTGTTGATACAACGTTAAGTTTGATTGAATAACTCTTTAGGATAAGGCACAATATGTGAAACGAATATTGCTAATTGAAAAAGTCTGCGACATTTGCAGTTAAAGTAAATCAGTTAAAAATTTCAAAATCTGACAATTTCTGTCGTTTATGAAGGATTATTCAGCGGGGCGTAATTAGGGACAGATTAGGCGAAAAAACAACGCCAAAATCCTTGCCAACTGTTTGATTGTTAAGCATTTCACAGGCTTATCGTTGAAAAGAAGTAATGTTAGTTGTTATTTCAAATCATGAGAATTATTACAATTAAATAGGAGCCAAGAAAAAAAGGAAAAAAAAACCTGGAAAGAAAAAAAAGACATCGAGAGACAATTGGCAGTTGAGATCGTATTTTTGCAACTGTCAAGAAAAAAAAAGGGAAAAAATACAGTGATGAAAGAAGTTGTCCTCTAAGCTAATAGCGCTCAATATCAAATACTTCATTTGCATCCAAAAATTGTCTTTATCTTTTTACATGTCTGAAAATAACTTTTTTAAAGCTCAATTTGTGCCAGAAACGCTCAAAATCGTTTGTTTCACCCTTTAAATAACTGTCTGCTTAGAATTTGTCCAAATTGTAGAGATAAGCTCGACTGAATATCAGATGAGTCCAATAACATTATGTTTGTTTTCGGTGCATTTAAAACACTTATTTAACCCTTGAGGGTTTCAATGGGCCGGGGTGATTGCTTTTTTACGGCTGACGGTTGAATTTTGGCCATTTCACAGCTGACCATTAATTAACTTCTTTCCTTTGTGATAAAAAGAAAGATTTTAACTGTTAACTTTTCTTTACGACTTGTGGTTAAAAATTTGTCACTTTTTACGCCTAACGGCTAAAGTTTTAGGCTATTTTACAGCTCATGTATCATGTGATTGACCAAAGAAGAAAAAAACCTTGTAATAAATCTTCTTTTACTGCGGAAACCACTTGTAAGAATTTAGAACTTTTTCAGCATACCACGACAAAGACAACCCAAAATTTCGATTTCGAATTGAATTGAATTGAACCCTCGTTCCAAAAACAACAGAAAAAATACAATGGAGAAACTTTTTGCTCCGTTTTATGATACCAAGGAAAATTCCTTGTCCATAGCGAGGATTCAACTTCGGACGTTTCGGACTGGCGGCTCTAACAAGTACGTTAAGAAAAAAAATCGCTGAAATCTCTAATCCCCTTATTTACATTCACCAAAATTCTCTATAACCGTATCTTTTCTTTCTCGGTGAAATTAATTTCGAGTTTTGCCAGAAACGCCCTTAACGATTGTTTTTTTGGTCTTCAATTGCGTTTTCTCGACTCGCTTGTAGAGAGCCCCCTTAACTATTATGTTCTGTAGCTCAAATCCGATGGTGAGGCTCGATTATAAGAGGGAGACTCAGATATGTTCTTTGTCTCAACCTTTAAAGCTTACTTAGCCAAAGGCCCATGAGCCACGAAATCCGAAGGTCTAAAGTTCAATTTCTTGTGAGGCACAAGGTTTTTTCCTTGTTCCGCCCTTTGACGCATATTTGTAGGGCTTCGCGTATCAAAACCGTAGGTGCGATGCGTTGGTCCTCGAGAGGATGAACTTCTTTCTCCCATGCTTGAGACAAATGGATAACAAACATCTTTCGAAGACCGAGTACAAATTTTGCCACTTTCTCTATCTGCCTGATATATTGCAAATTTAAAACTCTTATTATTCTTGGACCTGCTTGTGAGATTTATAATTATCATTTTGCGCATCAAACTTGTAAATAATCAATATTAAAGGTAATGTTTAGGTTTCCAAGAAGTTTCGGGGGGATAACACGTGTTTGTCTCCTACTGATCACGTGCTGTGAATCGCTCAGAGGGTAAAGTTCAAGGTCAAAGCGCACGATTATCTTTTGAAAACTGCTAAATGTGATGTTCAAATTTGCGGGAAAACGAGGTAGCCATACTTTTTCTATTAAAAGCATTTACTAGTGCTCTAACAGCTCTAACAGTTAAAGCAAATGGCTTTAAAAAAAGTTCGCTATCTATTTGTTCCACAAGAAGGGCCTTGCTCAAGTTAAATGGTTTTGGGCACTTGGGCTTGCTGCGATGCTAGGCAATATCAAAATAAAAATAGCGCCTGTTTAGTCACATGAAAGGAAAGGCGTTTATAACTTGTGTCGCGTGAAACCAAGGAAACCTTTTAGGCAAGCAAGAATGCAATTTGTTGTCGAACTTTCTACTGTGGCTCCAACCTCACTGAAGCGTTTCCAAATGTGTTCGTTTTCGTCACGAAAAAATAAAAGTAGATAAGATGCGAATTAATATCATCTGCACAGGGGTTTTCGTTTTTAGCTGTCCACATTACTGCCTTTTCATTTAAAAACGCAGACACTTTTATGGATTTCCGACTATCGACCAAACTACAGCGCCCCTGTCTTCATTCGCGTTTACCGAGCTTTTCAGTGCTAAATGTAATGTTAAAATTTGTTGGAAAACGAGTTAGCTGTACTTTTTCTATTAAAAGCATTTAGTAGTACTCTGACAGCTCTAACAGTTAGAGAAAATGGCATTAAAAAGTGCAGGTGATATTAATTCGCATCTTATCACCTTTTATTTTTTCGTGACGAAAACGAACACATTTGGAAACGCTTCAGTGAGGTCGGAGCCACAGTAGAAAGTTCGACTACAAATTGCATCCAAACGTATCAAAAAGTTTTTTCGAACAAAAACGTCTTAATTAGGTCGAGACTCACGTTTGGCGGCAAAAGAGAGATCATATTAGAAACGAGGGTTCAGCAGCAAGAATTTTTAGGTGAATTTGCAAATTTGAGATCCGCCCTCGGTTATGATAAAAACAATGATAATGAGGATTTCTATCATCGGCCCTATCCTATAACTCATGGCGCTTTTCAACATTTTGCGGGGGAATTTGGCCAGACTGCATTGAGCAGTTCATAAGTTTTTCGTAATTCCGAACCACGATTAGCTGATTTGAATTTGATCAAGTCACTATTTTTTGACAAAACACGAGACACGATTGCACTTTGAAATTGAAGTACTTTTAATAATTTTTTCATTCTTTACTTTTTTTATCACACGAACAGTGGCGCATACCCCGTGATGGTCTGGGACCGTGTAGTCGCTTGGACCTTTGGTACTTGCTTGTCACAATATTTAGTATTTGCACCATTTTAGGATTTGGTATTTTTCAAATATTAGTCAAGTCAAAGGAGCCGGAAACAACCGCAGTGTTTGCTGCTATTTATGCCCTTTGTGGAATAATGATCCTCCTAAGAATTCACTACTTCTACGTATGGTTCACTCGACGAAGCAAATTTTGGCGAAGGTGGAAAACTGAGAATCGAATCTGGACTGTGGCCTCTCCCGGAACAGTTTTAAAGTACAACGATGAAGGGACTATCGTATGAGATAGTTTTAGTTATTTTTTAAGGGTAATATGTGAACTACGAGCAGTCCCTTCTTTTCGGCAAAGTCTCTCGTGCTAGAGAAAAAGTCAGTGAGATAAATTGATTTTAGTGCCGCGGGGAGCTCTGGGAATGAGGCGCTAACCGCGGTGCGCTAACATCAATTTCTTTTCACGGACTTTTTTCGACTTGCGCGGTGGACGTCGCTGAAACGGAGGGACTTCTCTTAATCCAGATAGTGTGGTTTTCTGATGACATCTGCAAACTTTAAGGTTGCGATATTCATGGACACAAAGGAAATACAAACTAATCCTTACTCAATGTATTTTGGAACCTCATTCTTTAGACTCTGACCATGGCGAGGTGGCCAGTTTTTATGTAAGGTTCACAGATTTTCCGAGAAAATCATTGTTAATTCAAGTTTAAATTTAGATGATTCCAGAGATATTTGGATGTAATAAAGAAAATGTTGCTCGCTTAAATTACAAAAGAGGGAAAATGCGCAAAGCTACTAAGCGCAATAGTTTTCGCCTAGGGCGCTCACAATCATACGGTAGGAATGACTGGGCAGATCGACCAGTACAATTGCACCCTTATACGTTCCGCCTAAATTATGTTGGTTTAATTAATGCAAAGAGGATAAAGATCGTACCTGGCCTTTCGTGGTTTTGCTTCTTAAATACTGCTTGTTTGGTCTTGTAATTTGATTTCCTGAGAAAAACATCAGCAAGGCTGAATAGAAAGTTATCTGCTTATTTTTGCCAGAAAGGACAAAGTGCACTTTATACCCTTCTGTTTTTCGTCAATAGGGTAAGAGAAATTTCGATATTCGTAATCTGTTATTTTTTCCTCGAGAACCGTGCCGCAGACTCCATTTAGCATCCATCGTTGTAGCTAGCAATTATTCCATCTTGCCACGCTTACCAGAATTCCGTGCTATGTAAACTATGCGGAATGTTTTATCGTAGGTAGATAAAGAATTTTTTCGAAGAAATTTGAAAAACAGTAGGTTTTTATTGATAAAAAGCTTGAATTTGATAGAGATCCATGTAATGACATCATTTGATTAGAAATAATAAAAATTCTGTTCACTTTTTAAGTAATTAGTCACCAATTCTCCCGTGCAATGCAAAACGTCTCAGGGGTTTCATTGGGTACTTACTGGAGCAAGAGCAAGTTACTTAGTAGTAGTAGACTTACTGGAACAAGAGCAAGAACAAGAGTTACTTAGTAGTAGTAGTAGTAGTAGTAGTAGTTGTAGTAGTAGTAGTAGTTCTTTATTTAATGTGGCACCTCACTTAGCTACAAGCTACTTTCCAGGAAGCCCACAGCAAAATATTCAATAAAAAATTACAACCTACATCAAGAATTATGTACATTAAGTAAAATATTATTATTATTATTACAAAAAGGATATCGCAAATTTAAATATATGTTTGTATACATGTGTAGTAAAACAGAGATCAAAAAACTAAAAACTTAAAATTTTAGCTGACGGATATCGTGAAGAAACGTTCTTGTACCAGCCTTTGCGCGTATAGCATCTGGTAGCGCGTTCCAGCAAAATAACGAAATGAATAAAGACCATGCTTGGTACTGTTAACCTTAGGTAAGGAAAGCATGTTAGTGCCTCTTAAATTGTAATCAGTCCTCCTTGGTTTAACTAAGTCAGCAATAGGTCTGGGAGCCTTATATAGAAAGCAGTTATTGACCGTTAGCAACATGTCTTGAATCCTACGACTCTTCAATGTCGTATGCAACTCCGATATCAGTGATCGAGCAAGTCTTCATATGAAATACCCTTATCTTTATATACATATGTAAGCGCACGTTGATTCACCCTTTCCATTTTATTTGTATTCCTTTCCCCACAGGGGTGCCATATCTGGCTACAATAGTCAAAGTGAGGTAAAATAAATGCGCGATGGAGTGCTTCCTTGGTTTTAAGAGGCAGGATATTTTTGAGCCTATTTAAAGCATTAACCTGACCCGCCACCTTTCGACAGATTGATGCAACATGTGCATCAAATTTCAGCTTGTCATCCTATGTTGCACCAAATAATTTCATCTCACCGGAAATACGTATTGGCCTCCCTGAGCATTCTAACAGGAAATCACAACCAGTGTTTCCTAACACCAAACCCTGATATTTGTCTGGATTTGCTACCATCCCATTCTGTCGAAACCATTGTGTTGTACTGGCTAAGTCTCGGTTTATACCATCCTCCAGTGCTCGGGGATCATGGTGTGATAAATAGAGTTTAGTGTCGTCTGCAAAACTAAAAAGTCTACAATTCTCAACCACGTATACGAGGTAATTCATAAAGATGTTAAATAATAGCGGTCCTAGTAATGACCCTCGTGGTACTCCGGTATGCGCACCCATCCACGTGGAGAAAGTATTCCCCAACTTAACCCGTTGATATCGGGAAGATAAATAACTCCGTAACTCCCAGTTATATACTTCCATTTACGCGTGCGTATTCTTTTCCTAAGTACAAAGAACTGCAAAATTTATCCCCTTCTCCTGAAAGTTCTCATTAGCACCCTCTCTCCCACTGGCAGCCTGCTCCCTCCCCCCCGGAGGTGGGAAATATCATGACCTCATATATGAGAACGATCCTTCGCAGTAAAGCACTATTTGAGCAATAGTGAAAATCAGACCTGAAAAAAATTTCAGGCCTGTACGGGACTCGAACCACTGACCTCTGCGATACTAGTGCAGCGCTCTACCAATTGAGCTAACAAGCCAACTGGGAGCAGGCCATCAAATTAATTCGATATAAACCCGTAGATGATAAATCAAACAACAACAAACATATGAAACATATGTGTGAACTGCGGTTATGAGACGTATATGAGAACGATCCTTCGCAGTAAAGCACTATTTGAGCAATAGTGAAAATCAGACCTGAAAAAAATTTCAGGCCTGATTTTCACTATTGCTCAAATAGTGCTTTACTGCGAAGGATCGTTCTCATATACGTCTCATAACCGCAGTTCACACATATGTTTCATATGTTTGTTGTTGTATCATGACCTCAGTAATCCCTCTTTACTTAGCCATAGCCTGCATCAGGCTGCGTAAGTATTTTCTTAGTATGGCCGCCATCTTTGATTTTAACGGAATCGGAAGGCTGGGAAGAGAAAGAAATTTGTACCAAGGGGGTGAACGACAGTGAAAAAATAAGGAGGAGCGGGCCTGGAGGAGTGATTATTACTCTTTTCGCTCCTTACCCCTAACGTCGACTCTATATCCAAATTAAACATGGCCGGTTGACTTTAACTCGTCCTAATAAAACGCCTGAATTACAGGCTACTTAGCCGGAGGGGAGCCCTCTCACCACTGTGCCCTCCCTGCTCTTTCGGTTTATTTTCGTACCGTCAATAGACCACTTAAAGGTTACCGGCGCCATTTTGCCGGGGGTACAAAGCTGCTGGGGCGAGCGCAAAATGCACAGTGAATGTACGAAAAAAAGTCGGGAGATTGATGCTCGATAATTAGAGGAAGGTTCACCGCCATTCTGCAATTTCTATATATTACAAAATAAAGATATCTAGCAAAGGATGTTGTCGATTAAATGTGAAGCCGTTCAGGCTCGCTGAGAAGTGAGAAATGTCATTTTTAGTTTTTCATACAAATGCTTTTAAATTTTCCCGCGAACGGCGGCTTGCTTGGTTTTATAGACAAATATATGGAAAATCAAAATCTTAATTTGCGGCTTTTTTCGTGAGACTCAAGAGCCATAATTGGGACAATTTTGGCTCTTGGTGAGACTTCATTTTTGATATTTGATCGGTAAACTGGTATCTTTAGTTTGTAATTCAAAGAAATTGCACAATGTCAACCTTCCTCAAATTATCGAGCATCATTCTCTCGACTTTTTCCATATACTCACTGTACATTTTGCGCTCGCCCCAGCAGTTTTGCGCCCCCGGCAACATGGCGCCAGTAACCTTGAAATGGTATATTGAATTGCAAGTGGATTATGAGCCAAGTGTCACTTGAAAACGAGCTGGTTTTAAGTTAATCAATTATCCTCTTAATGGTGTTACTCTTTCCCCCAAAAAATTACCCCTTGATTGTTCTCAACGCCCTCAGTATCGCTTATTCCGATAGATATATACAGAAAATTACGTATGCAAGAGAAGGAGGCATTTCTTTTATCGCATTCGCTTCTTAAACGCATTGTTTACGGCTTCTCATCTGTCAAAATGGCGACAGGTTGTCTCGTGCTTTCCATTTTAACACTTTGGGAGGAGCAATCCTGTTGTTTCAACAGGAAATAGAATTGCAGGCATTTTATTGTTACCAGATAATTTTTGCATTAATTAACGCCATAATACCGGGCAAGTCTGGGCTAGCCATTTTTCCCGCCAAATCTAGACAATGAAATTTAACGCGCTCCTGCTTGATTTCCGGCGCCATCTTTAAAATTCTTTAAAAATCTACGAAGCAGAAAACTCAACAATGCGTTTTCGAGCGCAGAAAACAATACTCTGCTGTCACGATAGGGTGCAATTCTTTTCATCATTAGCGTGAGGGCTGAAAAAGAGATCGTGATTGTTTTGAGAGATAATCCTTGAATTCGAGTGCAAAAATCTGGTTTATATCTCTCATATCCTATCAAAACACTGTTTCTATCCGTAAGAAATACAACAGTAATCAACCGGAAGTGATGAACCACGTGTAAAATTTCCCTAGATATAAAGAGTGCTTCTATTGGCCCTATTCTTGCACTATGATATGAACCTTTTACTGATTGGTTCGCTCCAGTTTCCCCGCCATATATTACATGCTGTGTTTGCATGTTTGAGCAACGCGCGTGGTTTGCTATTTAAGATGGTAGTGTTTTGGATTGGTGAAGCAATTTTGGAGTTTTGAAGTCTTATCCCTGAAAACAGGTTAGTGTAATCTGTTATTACTTTGAAGGTTAATCCATTTTCGTCGAAGGAATCGAAAAGTTCATCGACATTTCACTTTGAAGTTGCAAGAACGATTTGAGTCGCAGCTCAAACGATTTCGAACTCTAGATCGGTCGGAATTGAATTGACATGGGTGCGAAAATTTCCAGAAGATGGAGCTATGAGTGGCGATGGTTCTATTCAATACATCAGCTTAAAGATCCAGAGGCAGTAATTCACAACTAATCATCGCTAGTAGGAAACTTCTCGCACCCGAAAAGATAGGGGGTTAGTGTAAATGAATCCTTGCCAAGTGGAGCTATATTTGGTTCCTCTTCGATGTGGTTGACTGTATTCCTTAGTTTACATCGGAAGTTGTGGTCGTTTTTGGATCTCCAGCTTTATATTGTTTCTATTTCTGTGGTTTATTTTTAAGCCTGCTTGTGTTAATTCAATTGTTTATTGTCTAATGTGTGGAATTGGTCTATTGTCGTAAAAGAGGACAAATAGAATTGACAACACTAAACAACAAGATACGATCAAAGCATATCAGTGTTAGAGATCTATGATAGTATCAAGAGCTGCAGCAAGTACACCAGTACGATCAAAGCTTATCAGTGTAAGGGAACTGTAATATTATCAAGATCTCCAGCAACGACTCTTCCATCTTCAGTTCTAGTGCAGGGCTTTGAAAGGTTATTGGTTATAATTGTGGATTATAGCATTTCAGTTTCAATGTGAATTAAGAATCAAACTATTTTTAAATACAGTCGAACCTTGATTATCCAGACCTCGATTATTCGCATTTCTCGATTATCTGGAGTTTTTCCCAGGTTCCAATTTTGTCATAAACATTTATTAGTCATGATCAAGATCCATAGCCATATTCTTAAACTACAGTGTTGAAAAGTGAAGTGAAGGGGATGTTCTTCTTTGAGACAAAATGAATGACTTCAACATTTTAGGCCAATGTAAAAACATTTAAAATTAATTTTAATAGTTAGTACACATGTGTAGAGGTATTCACATTGGACAGTAAAGACATAGACTTCAAAACGATTTGTAAGTGTTTTGTTTCACCATTAAATGTTGCTCTCTTAATTAAATCAGTTTTTGTTCCTCATTAATATTCATATCAGGGCTTAACACTAATTTTTCAACTTAATAGCAAAGTGGCTAGTGACATCTTAGATGTTTTTAGATGTTACGACAATTTCAGTCTGTTTACTAGCCAAACTGGCCAGTGGAAATTGAAAACCACTAGCCAAAACTGAATTTCTACTAGTCTGTGGCCAGTGGGCTACCCTTAGTGTTGAGCCCTGCATATTCTCGATTATCCTGACTATTTCGTCGAATCCCAACGAGTATGGATAATCACGGTTTAACTGTAGATGGTCAGTTATTTCATGGCTGGGGCTAATTTTGAAACTACTTTGCAACTGATATTTACCTTGGTTTCAGTATGATGAGTATGATAACACAAAAACTTGTCAAATGGACAACTAAATTTTTAATTTTTTTTTTTTTTTTTTTTCTCAATTTTTTGACATTTTGCCCATAATGCAGTATTATGGGCAGATTGCGGGCTGGTAGAATCCAGCCAGGGCAAGTATATTAATTTTTTCAACATACTTGCCTAGCTGATGACCTTGAAAAAGTACTCACATGGATGAATTACATCCTCAATCCATAAAACCAAGCTCGAACCTTGATTATCCAGACTTCGTTTATCCAGATTTCTCAATTATCTGGACTTTTTCTTCTGGTCCCAATTTTGTCATGAATATTTATGATCAATATCCATAGCCACATTCTCTTTAAAACTACAGCATTGAAAAGTGAAGTAAAGGCAAATGAATGTTTTTCTTGAAGACAAACTGACTTGCTTCAACATTTTTGAAGCCAAACATTTTTCATCAACATTAATTGTTAATACATGTGTAGAGGTATTCACACAGAACGGTGAAGATGCAGACCATATCCTTTTTCAAAGTGATTTGTAAATGTTTTGTTTCAAGAGTAAATGTTGCCTTCTTAATCAGTTTTTGCTCCTCATTAATGTTCATATTCTCGATTAGCCGACCATCAGTTATCCAGACTATTTCATCTCATCCCAATGAGTACGGGTAATCGAATTTCAGATCAACTGCTCAGCAGAAAGTGGCTGTTATAAATCAATTTTTTAGTCATTTACTGTGGTTTTTTGTAAATTACCACAAGATGACCTTTAATACTATTAATAGTTGGGTCTCTCTTGTATGCATCAAAAGTTAATTGCTGGTGAGAAAGAACATGGAAAATTCCATTGTTGCCAAATCGGAATTATATTTCAGTGAAGTACACATTTTTTATGTTGGTAGAGTTCAGCATACCTCAGCTAGCTGTATGCCTACTTAGTTCGACTTTTGAACTCCCAAGTTGTGCTGTGTAATTCTCTCTTAGCATCCAAAGGTTTCATTGTAACTCAGTATTGAGAATTTGGGTTAAATCATGGGAACAACCTCTGGCTAATGAGTAACGTTATCTTGTTATTCTGTTTGCTGTATAATCTTTTTAAAATTTGAAGAGAAGTTGCTTTTAAATCACACTTATTAATTAGTGAAAGTGTGAATGGTACTTGCAGTTATTTCTGTAGATGGGAACTCTAAGCTATTACAACTGTAATTGATCTTTCTGCGATTGTTCTCTAAGCTAACCCTGATTGTGGTCATTGTGTGATCAGCCATGTCGCAGCCATCTTCCCAGGGCTCCAACTACTCTCTAGAGCCTTTACTGTCACAGGAAACATTGGAACATGTGTTCACAAATGTCAATTACATGTTTCAGAATCAGACAGATTTGCAGAGGTATGGATGTTTGTGTATTTATTTCATTTTTGTTCTTGGGGTAGATTTTTTACTTCTCTGCGTAACTGGTGAGGGTCTAGTCAGGGATTTAGGTCTGGTTTTCGCTAGTGATACAGACACAAGCTAAAGTACAAACACAAGCTTAATAGCTCTTATTTCTTAGTGGAAATGGCCTTGAAGCAAGCATGAATACAAGTGAAAGCATAAGGATCAGCATTTTTCCTCTTTTTTTGTGCCTGTGCTTGCATCTAGGCAATTTCATGGTGAAATAGGATCTGTTATACTTGAGTGTAAATAGCTGTACCCTCACCACCAAGGAGAAATGGAAAGGAGGGAATGTCAAGAAAAACCTGACAGGAGTTGTGTTCAATGACGTCAGGTTTTTACAGACTTTCCCCCTTTCCATTTCTCCTGGGGTGGGGGTATGGCCACACGTATGGAAGAGAAAAAATTGATTCTTGAATGTCACAGCTTCTCTGTTTGACTATGTGGTGAAATTGTTATGAGAACCTAGACTCTGATCACTTGTAAGAAACGGTATGTTCGATTTGCAATTACATTTTGTAAGTATAACTGACAAATTTGGGTTTTTGTTTTCAGCATGCAAACTCAGATTAACATGGTACCCACAGTTATTAATGTGTCAGATGAGAATATACATGGTATGTTTCTGTAGCTGCAGAATCAGTCTTTATATTCTGTCAGAGGAATGCATGGATAATTAAAGTCCCATTGTGAATTCTGATGCAACTTCTACTTTTCCCTCTGTTTTACAAGGAAATACAAGAAAATTTGGAAGGAGATTTGAGTAGTCTATCAGGAGTCATTTCTGGCTTTTTCCATGCATTCCTTTAATTGTAAGAACTGTTATTATTAGTTTAAGAGTTACGATCAGTCAATTTAGTGAGCTGTATTTCAGTGTACAGCCTGCTTTGCCTTTGAGATGTGAATCCAAAAAAACAAAACTTGGTCCATAACTTATATTATTACACGACTCGGGCAGTCAGAGGGTCAATAACTAAAATCAACCGATCAAAATGCTCTATATCCGGTCAATATTCTGTAAGTATTGGACTGGGCACTGTCCTGAATAGTCTGGAATGATACCGCACTTGTATCCCTTTGAACTTCAGTTATATAATAAATCTCTTATTAACCAAGCTTGCTTGGGACCGTCCTGGAAGAATATCGGCCCTCGGTCTTTTTTGTACGGACCTCGCTGCACTCAGTTTGTACTGTCAAGACCTCGGGCGGATATTCTCCCAGTATGGCCCTTGTGCTTGGTTAATAAGATACATGTACTTACAGACCTTGAACTCGGTAAATAAGAGGTATTTATAACTATAATAATTAAGATAATGAGGAATACCTTGCAAAGCAATGTTTAGGACTTCTGTCAGCATGGTGACCAAAAATTTTGTCACAATTTGTCTACTTCCACTGAAAAATATTGGAAAGCAGGGCGTAAAATTACGCCTAATACAGGCGCCAGTGCGACTAAATTTTTCACTTTGGCGACCAAATCCTGAGAATTAGTCGCCAAATTGGCAACTAGAATTTCTAATCACACCTTACCTAGAGATCTAGTGATTGTTGAAGATTTGTAAAGATGAATCTGCAGCAAAGTTCCTCGTTAAGCTCGTTTCCAAAATGCAGTACATGCATGATGTCGAACGTAAATCTACCGTCACTAGACGTCATCTTAGATTTAGGTAACCTATAACGTTATATACAATCCATTCTAGTGTCCTCTTTGTAGCTTTTGCGAATTTAGCAGGCTCATTTTTGATGTTTGTATGATTGTATCCCTATGATATGATAAATCTAGTACAGTGACAGGGTAAAAAAAGATTTTGTGTGTGTGTGTCATAATGGCCACCAACTTTTTGGAATTGGCTACCACTTTAAATTATTTAGGAGCCAAGTGGCTACCGAAAAAAAAAGGTATTTTACGGCCTGGAAAGACTGGACAGATGATTGTAGTGTATGTAAATATGGTGTAATGTTGTAGATAAGTGGAACCCTTTAAAAGGTTTATTCCTTGCTTGTGTGGAAATATTTTGTTGTCTTTTTGTCTGATTTTCAAAGCCAGCAGATATACTTATGATCAATTATTTTTCCCCTGCAATTCCAGAGAGTGTTGAGATGAATCTGGAAAGCGTTGCTGTGCTGAGACCTGAGGTATTACTTTTATCGAGGTTTCTGTCATGTGAAAACAGTCATTGATGCGTGAAATAAAACAAATTTCAATTCATTGCCAAAAGAAATGCACAATTCCAGTCATTCATTTGGCAAATTGTGAAGGAAGCCTGAAAAAATGTGTTAGCAGAAGAAGTACAGTAGTGTTACTCCCAGTCGCTTCTGATCATGCAAAGATCAGAAGAAGGATGGGGTCTGTGGGCCTCTATAATGTAGCTACAAACCTCTCTTAGCCTTGTAACTCTTGAGATCTTATTGTTAATTCTCCCCTCTCGCTGCTGCACATTTCCTTGTAAATTATTTATGAACATTTGGTGTTAGATCAGGGTGACAACTTCTACTTGACAAGTTTGAGTATTCTTGTTACCTGTTGGCTAGACAATGAATGGACATGGTAGGGAGAAAGTCCTAGCTAATCACTTTAGGAGTTAATGCTACGGATGCATATGAAAGTCTACTTTTCTTTGTTCAGCAGGGAGAGCTGCTTCAACTTTTACAAGAGCAGCAGTTTCAAAATCTACAACAACAACCAGGCTTCAAGCAGGAACCATTAGACAACACATCTCCTTTACCATCCACCTTAGCTACACCACCACCCGAAGAGCCGAGTCCACAGCCGCTGATAGTGTGCAACACTGACTTCCCTGGTCTGTACGGATTCGGTTTGGGGTTTGAAGTGGAGAGGAGTCCTCCCACGAAATCAGCTCAGTGGACATACTCTCCTACTCTAGAAAAACTGTTCGTCAAGATGAGGTGTATTGTACCAATTAGAGTAAAGCTAAGAGGTTAGTGCAGTGTCAGTGTTCTATTTATCACGAAGCTAGCCTCTTTTCTTGTTCAGTTGTCAGGGGTTTCATTAAGGGCTGGGTACTGGGCAAATTGTGAGGATGGTTTTGCCTACCTGGTGTGATGATCTGGAGGAAAGTTTATCTTGTAAAGAAGTGCAAGGCAAAAAAGTTTGGCCTGCCTGTGAAAACCAGTCGCCCTCCTGCTGAAAATGTTAATGAAACCCCTGAGTTGTGTGAAGTTAATTATTTGTAGCACCCCATAGGGTCCCCTGGTGGGGGTGCAGTTTTGTTGTCACCGAGAAAACAAGGCCATGATCTACAATCTTCCCCTTCCCCATTTGTCAATGCTAATGGGGGGAAAACTGGACTGCCTGAAAGAAAAAAAATGAAACTATGAGCTTGGAGCAGGGTGTTTTAACAAAATTTAAAGAAGGTTGTAGTTATTAAGCATGAGTCAAGATCTCTTGAACAAGAGTTCAGTTTGATGAACGTTACTGCGGCTATTCATATTCGTAGTAACAACATCCCTGGCATTTAGTTTGCATTATGCATCATGCATTGCTGTGGGTAAGATATCTGACTAGCATCAACTTTCAAGTGCTACATGGAACCAAAGGGGTCAAAAAGCAAGAGTTACCTTTTTGTTAGTTTGACAAAAATAAAAAAACAGGTTAAAAATAGTTATAGGAAAGAGTTATTTTTATTGCTGACAGATGTCTGGCCAATCTTAAACATCTTTCTTAACTGTTTGGACCTTACAATTTGGATAACATCAGACCAAGATTCCTTTAGTGTTAATTTTCTTTTTGTCCCTTTCCATCCTGAAAGGCAGTGACACTACATTCATGGCTGCACCATTGTCAAACTCATTGGTTTTTTGATGAAGTAGATACAATTTCAAACTTAATGACTTCTCTATGACTTGAGCTTTTCACAATGGTGACCTCTTACAGAACAAATTTCTGTGTGAATTGATATGCTTCCTTTTTCTTTAATTGTCAGTGTCTTAATTTGTCTTCTTTTTGTTTTAGTTTTCCCTCCAGCCCATGCAGGTTTTTACATCAGGGTAGTGGTGATTTACAGGCAACCGGATCACTATCGGGAAATTGTCGAGCGATGTCCTAACCACAGGACTAAACACAAAGATGGTGAGTTTCTTGAGTGACTGTTTTGCCATATTGGGCACTAAATATTCTACAGGGGCCATTTCTCAAAAGTGTCAGTAACTTAACAGGCCCAAAGTCATGTTATAAAATTAAAATCTAAAGGATAGGAAAGCAGGTTCTGGCACCTAAACCAATTCTTTTTGTTTCTCTAGCTGATAGTTTTATTGTGTTATTTTCAAAACATTTGAAATTCCTTCTTGAATGAAAACAGAACAGCTTTACAGGTCCGTTAAGTTACCAGGACATTCCAGAAATTAATGGGCTCCAGGAGTCCAAGCTTTACATTAAAATTTTTTTTTTAGATTTTGCATTTCACTACCCTAAATGATACTAAAAGTGGTCACAAAAAATAATATTATTACCAGAGAAAAAAATTGGATAAAAATGACGTAATAGGGGAAGGGACATTTTTTTTTTTTTTTTTTAATGTTGTGTGTTATTGCAATCTTCAGTTCACTTTAACTATATAAACACAATTGATAAAACCTTTCAACCTGCTGCATGACTGAGAATAACTTGCTACACGATTGTGCAACTTTCCTTGCAAATTCAAATGTTTTTTACCTGCCATGGTGACCAAAAATTAATGGTCACAGCTTTGAACATTAGTCTTTGTCTTGTGAACAATAATCTCTTATAGTAATAAATTATTTTGCATATGCTGATGTTGAGTAAAATTCTTTCTTCTTCTTTTTCTTTTCTTTCTTTTTTTTTTTTTTTTTTTTTTCAGGCCATCCAGCTCCAGAGCATTTGCTGAGATGTGAGAATCCCAACACAATTTATGTCACATGCCCTGAGACTGGTCGACATAGTTTAAAGATACCTTTGGAAACACCTCAAGGTAATTTAACAACAAAATGTAGAATTGCATAAATCTCAGATTCTAATTGGTTAACAAAGCAAGGTATGTGAATTAAGTTTGGAATTGCAAATTGAAAACAGGGCTAAGGGATATTGTTTTGCATCTCTTGTTTCATGCTCAGGATGAAAAATAAAACAATATTATTGCCATTTTCTTGTATTCCTAAAGTATTTTTATTCCATTTTGCAATTCAAGGAAAATTTATTACTTGACACATGAATTCCATGTTCAATTGTCCTTGTTCATCACTTTGTGATTGTGCTATATCAGCTTTCAAGTAAAATTTGAATAACAGGGAATTCCCTGGTCAGGAAATGAAATTTCTTATAGTATTGTTTGCGTCACAGCTGAAGTTGTGGCCTTCAGAAGATGTTAAGTCAACTCCATTGCTTAAACACTTCACAAGATCTGTCTGAATCAAAATTGTCTTAAATCATACTCTCAATTAACCTTTTGACCTCCAAGAGTGATCAAACATCTAATTTCTCCCATCAGGATCACTCCTGAATTAAACGTCGAGGTCGTAAGAATTGAGGAAATGATCACTGACCAAAGAAGTTCTTGATTGTTAGACAAATTCTCCTTGTGAGCACATTAGGAAATGTACTGAGTACAGTTTGGAGAATATGCATGTATATTCATGTTATGGTGAACAAGTGGACTTCACAGCATGATTACATGATTCCACTAAGTACCACAATGATTGAAGGTTTCAAGTTTTTGCTCTTTTAAGCCCAATCAAATTACAGCACATTTTAGGAAATAAAATTTATGATCATAATCATGATAATTTTCATGAGCAGTTCCTCTATTTTTGACTCTCATTCTTATCCTGAACTCTTTCAATGGACACTTTGCAGCTGGAAGTGACTTTGTTACCAACATGTTCCAGTTTATGTGCTTCAGTTCATGTCCCGGGGGTTTGAACCGACGCCCCATCCTTGTGATTTTCACTTTAGAGCAAAAGTAAGTGTTGCATCTTCATTGTCATCCAGACATTCAATGTTTTTAGAAACTTTCGTGAAACTGGGAAAATTCAGCACACAATGCTGTGGCTGGTTTGTTTGTCATTTGGCAAGAAGAAGAACTTTGAGTGAGTGTACTCGCAACAAAATTAGTCACTAATTTGGCAACCAGTGTCCCTACTTTTAGCAATTTTTTTTTCCTGCTCAGTGCTTTTCGTCCTAAGTAACTAAAATTAAGCCTTATACTCATCAAGATCTATTGTGAGTTCTCCTTTCTAGCTACATATACTTAATTTGCCCCCTTGTAAATTAGTTACTAAAATTTGGTTTACATTACATCATGATAATAAGTTCAGCCCAATAAGTTTGAGTATTCTTGTTATAGTTACCTGTTTGCTGTATTATGTATCGGTGTTTAAGTAGAAGTTACATGTTAATCACTTTCTGGAGCATAAGGGTAAAAATACTATATAAAATGAATGTTTGCCTCAAATTTGTTTATTCTTTCAAGGCTGTGCTCTAAGAAAAATTGAAGGGATCCAGTGCTCTGAAACTGTGAAATCCAGGGTGCCTAGCATATGCTTCTTATGAAAAAAATTAAGATTCCTGAGTCATCCATGAGCAAAATTAAGGTGCCAGGGGCCACCAGCACTGCTAGACTACAGCCCTGTCTTTATTTGTTTATTTATTTATTATTATGATGATGGTACCTTGGCATCTTTCTCATTGTTTGTCCAGATATTTAGCCTTAAGTTGTTGCATGAATATTGCACAAAATGGAAAGTTTTAAGCTTTTTTCCTGGCCAGGAAATTTTTATTTCTGGCAGCTGTACTATGAGTGAAGGTTGCAAAATGGCAACTTTTGTATGAGTGGCTTAACATAAGTGCTGTTAGTTTTGTTCTTACATGTATGTGCATATATTCAAAAGTTTGCCCTTATCATTTACAGTAATATTGTCGTTGGAAGGAAAGCTCAAAATATACGCATATGTGCATGTCCCGGAAGAGACAGGACCAATGAAGAGATTGCTGATGCAAAAAAGCAATCAAGGAATGCAGCTGTGTCTGCGATAGACCCCCAGCCTCAACCAGTAAGCACTTCTAGCCCAAATGTGACTCCACCCCCAACACCTCAGGCTTCCCCAGCACCTCAGACTTCTCCGCAAGAACCTTCAACTTCCACTGCTGCAGATGACGCCAGTCAAAATGTTCAAGTACCTAAACTAACTAAAAAGAGATGTAAGTTTGGAGTTCCATGTACAATTCCAAAAGGTAAATTTTAGTGATACGACGAGTTGATGCGGATAAACAATTTAGAGGAAGGGACGCAAGTCCATAATGTGGGTTGCACCCCCCCCCCATGCCAGGTCTCGGTTTTCAAATGTGATCTTAAACACAAGTTGGAACTTTTCTTTGATCTTTGTTTCCATAACCACTCCTGCAACAAAACACTTTAATTGATGATTATAAACACATTTTTTTTTTATTATTCCTAATGATAAAGGTTACGAATGCTACATAACTCTGTCCATATTGAATTACTTTCATTAGACATGCCTTTCCTTCGATTTTAGCTCATGCTTCCATGTCTACTGGATTTGAGGTACGATCTCTGTCTATTGACAGAAACGCGATGAAACGGCTCAGGAGAGAGGAAGATGAGGAGATCTTTACCATCCAGGTTGGTAAAATTTTGGGGGCCGGACATCAATCGGGACACTGTCCTGTCTCCTGTCTCCTGCTCCTGTTGGTATCTAATATTATTATTTTTGTGATTTTATTTATAAAAATTATTAAATAGGTAAGTATGTATGTAGGCATCAAATCTGTGATTTTATTTATAAAAATTATTAAATATGTAAGTATGTATGTATGTATGCTAAACTAATTTAAACAAGCAAGGTTGAGAATTAATTTCTGCTTCAGTTCTCTGATTTTGTCTAAATGACAGTGAAGCAGAAATATTGCAGACTATAAGAGCAGAGCACAACAGTGGACAAGAAGTTGCTATTACATGCTGATCTGTGAACAAAAGTTGCTGCAACATATTTCATTGCTGCTGTAGCATAAAAAAATTATTCATATCATTTTATTTTCATTCTTGCAACAACAGTTTCCTGTTGTGGCAGTAAGTTGCACAATTTCAGTGTGGTTTGAATTTATGCAACTTACTGCAACAACAGGAAACTGTTGCAAGAATGAATGGTGGTTGTAAACTAACATGTATTGTTTTCTGGTTTTAAATCCGATTTGCTGGTTAAAACTCTGCCTGTTCTAGAAGTGCCATTAGTGCATGTATTCTTTTCAAATTGTCTTTTAAAAATATCAACACAGCTGCACTCTGCCTTTTGCTCATCTAGGTAAGGGGCCATGAAAAGTATGAACTGCTGCTGAAAATGAAAGAAGGTTTGGATATGATGGACATGGTACCACAGGCGCAGATAGATAACTATAGAGCAAGGTGAGTCATGCAAACAACAATAATATAAATAGTAAAAAAAAATTTTTTTCTCAGTACAAAACAGCATTAAGTCAAGCAAAATTGAAATACTTCAACTGGGGGACAATTAAATACTAACAGTATTTTTTGTAAAGCCATTTACAATGCACTTTTTCTGCACATGCATGACTCGCAATGGATAGACGAAACAGAGATGCATGTAGATGAGTCCTCATTCACACCAATTATGATTGCTTGGCAGGTGTGACATAAATTGGATACCAGGCTTTGCAAGAATAGGTTATTTGACTTGCATGTAGATTTCAGTCTAGACGTGAATTGTGTTGTAAATATATTTTATTTATTTATTTATTTTATTTCCTCTATTCATAAGTATTACAAGGTTGCTTCCATATAGTAAAAGAAATTAAGCATTAATGATGCAAAATAGAAAGTGCGGTATGTTTGTTGGCAAAAGCAAGGATGGAGAAGGGCATGTTATTGTTGAAATGTTTAAAAGCCCTTAAATAATGATTTACATAAACTTTAAGCTCATTTATTTTCACAAAAAAGGAAAAAATAACAAACAAGAAAAAAAAACACACATGCAGACACATCACACACATACACTATGACTGTGATCAAGTCAGGTAATTAAGTACTGAGCAAAATAATATTTTAGTTAAAAAAAATTACAGATAAGCTTCACATGTACAGATTTTCAATTTAAATGTTTTATAGCCATTGCATATATTTTAAAGTATTTTGTTTGGAATTTACAGCTGTCCCCCTTGTGGAAGACTGAAAACCTCAAGAATGTTACAGAATTCACGGAATCTGCCTGACTCACAGAATCCTCAAAATTCAAGTTCAGATTCGCAAAACTCCATGGAGTCACAACCAGTAAGTTTTTTCTATCAGATCTTCTTTAGTTTGTTTGTATTTTTTGTAATTAAATTATTATGTGCTAGTACAGTCAGATAACATTCACTGGTCAGTCTTGCATAGCCAGTCAGTCACAGACTAAAGGACACTGAGGTTAAATGAAATTTTGGCTGATGGCCTGTTGGGCAGCTCCAGTTCAAAACTACAATTTCTAGTTTTTGCTTGAAGAGTTTCGATGCTTATTAAATTACAGTAACTATTTGCTTATTTTTACAATCAAAATAGAACTGTTTGCAAGAGTTTTTTACATAAAATAGGAAGACTTGTATCATCTGCATCTTTGAAGCACATGAAGTGACTTGTCTTGGTATTTTGTGAATGAAATGTGAAGAAGAAGTCAATGCCAAAAGCACCAGGGAAAAGAATTTAAGCTGTATATGTCACAAAAACTTTTGTGCATGATAATTTGTGTTTTTTAGGATTGACTAAAACTATCAGTCAATTTGTCATTCAACCAACCAGTCACTGACTGACTGAATGGTTGACTGAGTAACTGATGGAGAGACTGATCATTTATCCAACTTCTCCTTACAATATCACCCCAAATCACACATTGAGGTTTTGAGAATGCAGGAAATGATCATCAATTACAGAAGCTCTTGATTGTAAAACAAATTCTCCATGTCAGCACCTTAGGAAATGTATAGAGAACATTATGGAGAATATGCATACTGATGTTAGGGTGTAAAGAATTAATCACACACTCAATTAAAAACTGACCTGACTAACAAGCTAAAGCACTTGCATCTTTGAAGCTCGTAATTATGGTGGCTTGTGTTAGCATTTTTGAATGAACTGTTTGTCAATTTGTCATTCAATTAAACAATTACTGACTAACTGAATGGTTGAATGACTGCTGACTGCCTGACTGATTGACTGGTCAATCAACAGCCGGACAGCTACTGAGTTACATCATGCAAACTACTCACACACTTACTTACTGACATAACAAAAAAGTGAAAGCACTTGCATCTTTGAAGCCTATGCAGTAGCTTGTCTCAGCAATTTTAATTCATGAGTGTCGAGAGGAAACAATGTAATAAACACCACTCGGGCAAAAGAATGAAAGTTAAGTTCATGTCCCCAAAATCATTTGTGCTAGATGTGATTGTGGGATTGACTAAAACTGTCTGTCAATTTTTCAATCAACCAATCAGTTACTAACTAGCTGAATGGTTGACTGAGTAACTCACAGACAGCCTGATATAGTGATCAATCAACAGACAGACTGCTGATGAGTTACAGATTAATTAAAACAGTTTCAAAGACATTACCACCTTGTCTTTTAGCATGTACACACAGAAGTCCATTAGACATGCTACTGTGAAACTACCATGAAGCTACTGTTCCTTAGAAGGGTTTATAAAAGTCATCAGTCAGTCTGTCTTTTAACCAATCAGTCACTGACTAACCAATTGCTCGAAAGAAAAACTGAATGAACTGTTGAATGATGCTTATTGACCAACAACTGACTGGAAGACTCAAACAGAGTTCTTTCCATCCAGTGAAAACAGTTATGCAACTCACCACCTTGTTTATAAATGAGAATTACTCTTTTTGAAATATCAGTTTAAGAAAAACATCCCTATAACAGTGTCATTGTGACATGTGACTGTGCTTTTGTTTAAACCTCCAACTCCTAAGATATGATGGTCAATTCTCCCCTCTGGCTGCTACACATTAAAATGTTCATTTAGTTATGAGAATTTGGTGGTAGATCCAGATAACTTATACCTGATAAAGTTTGAGTATTCTCATTACCTGTTTGCTGGATGAAGTATGGATATCAAGGGGAGAAGTTACATGTTCATCATTTCTGGGAATTAAAAGGTTAAATCAAATCCAGTTTTTAACTGCATTTTCACAACTTGTCAATGTTGGAGTTCACATTGGTGGGGCTGATAATTATATTTATTTTGTGAAATAAATTCAATGTCATGATGGCATTAAACATATTTCACAGGATGACATTGAAGGTACGCCACCTGTCACGCAGCTGTCACGATCAGATTCGGGGTCTTCTTATCAATCTCCTTCCTCATCGCAGAAGAGTTCCGGAGGAGGGACGGGTTTCAATGCTGTGAGGTTTACCCTCAGACGAACAGTGTCTCTGGACAAGAAAGGCTTTCAGCCATGAATTCATACACAGTTGGATCCAACTATGAGGGATAAATGAACTACTGTTCTTAGGGATGGCTGAAAATTGAAATCTGTTAACATTTAACTACACAGGAGATATATACCAGCATATAGATGGCATTGTTTATTTTGCAGTCTTTGAAATAAACTAGATTTGTCAGTCAGGAATAATTTTTAGCTTGCAAAAATTGATGTAAAAAAAATAATAGAAAATTGCATGATCAGGTGATGACAAAGGCTGTACCTCTAGTTGTAAGTAACATTTCTGAATGTAGAAAAACATTCAAACTGTCATATTCATGTGGAAAACTTTGAGTTTACATGCAATGTGACTTGAAGTTTATAGTGTGATCTTTGTAAACCACATACCCTCTTGTTTTGAGAATATTTTTCTCCCCAGTTGTTAACTGTGAAAATCATTTTGATTAGAGGTTTGTAAGTGATACCTATCATGTACATTTTGGGCATCTTATTGGGTGCAGCTGCATTTGTAATAGAGGTTTTGCACAGCAGCCATGTTGGATGGCAGGAACAATAGATTATTTTACCCATGGGGAAAAAAAATCTTTCTTATGCAAAATATTTTCATTGTTCCTGCCATCCAACATGGCTGCTGTGCAAAACCTCTATACATGGGTTTGTTGTTGTAAATACTAAATGATATGTATCGCATTTATTAACCCTAGTGGGGTAGGAGGGGTAAATTTCTATTCCAAGTGGGGTTGGTTTGGTCATCTTGCTTTGTTGTTGCAGTTTATGATAGACCTTTATATCATGTTAGATACAAGTCTCCTTTCACACTCTGCAGCCTCGTCTGTGACTTTTTTTAAGTAAAGGTGATGATATAACCAAAATGGAGGAAAGTAAAAGAAATGCAGATGTGTATTTTTGAAATTATTTTTATATGCTTATTGAGCAGTCAGCTGCATGTAAGCATTGTCTTCTGTTTGTGAGGTGGCTTCTTCATGGAGGAGTCTTAAGATTTGATTTCTATCAGAAGGCAATAGATAGGCTTGACTTTGTTTCTTCCAGAGAATAATTAACAACCTTTCATCAAAGTGGAGGTGGTTAGTGGTGGATATTTACCGAGCCGCTTCGCGGCGAGGTAAATATCCACTGCTAACCACCGACACTGAGGTGAATAGTTGTTTTAGTAAATACTAAAACAGTGAGATAATATACACCACCGTCGTTAATTTGAGTGATTTCTTTGCTTGTCACGGATGCAAACCGGGACGCCATTTTTTTGCCGAGTTGCTTGGAGGTAAATAGCAAAGGATATTCGGATTTGACTAGCCAATGAGAGTGCACCTTCAATGCTATCCACTGTTTTAGTATATACTAACAGTAATTATAAAATTAATGATAAATGATTTATGAATAAGACGTAACAAATTGTGGAGCAAAAGTAGTAGATAACGTTTATTACTAGTGTGGCAGAAATTTCTCTTGGTTTATTCCAACTGCACAAGTACACGAAGTGTGCCTCGAAATTGTGTTTTTCCATGAGAAGTTGGAAAGGTCATCGTTGTTTTTTCATATTTTTATTTTTTTGTTTAAACCTGTTTCAGGTCAAAAGTGTATGATATTGTACAGTACAATGAGTTTGTTATGGTTTTTTGTTAACAGTTAACGTGAAGTACAGTGCAAGGTTGCTGCTTTCTGAATGGGAAGTTGTTATGTTTTGAAGTTTGTGTCACTTGTTGAGCCATGTTTATTTAATTAGATTAGTGTATACAGCTAAGAAATGCTTGAGACACAAGCTTGGCATAGAACTGTTTTCCATTTTTCTTTTCTTTTCTTTCTTTCTTTTTTTTTTTTTTTTTTTTTAATATACTGTGTATGGTTAGGAAGTATTGGTTTCATTCCAGAGTTGTCCTAACTGACATATTTCTGGAATGAAAGAGGATTAGATAGTGTGCCCATGCAATGATTGCAAAGTTGGGTTCATGTTATTGCTGATATTTTAGAGTTATCTTGACTTCAGAAACGTACTAGTCTAAATGTAGCAGTTATAGAAGCTACTATGTACTTAAAATAAAAATTTTTGTGTTTCTGAAAATGGCTTCACTCCAGTGGAAAGATTTTCTTTCCTTTGAACCAGTTTTTGTAATCCCCACCTCTCTTGTGTATGAATATTATTAGGGACCGTAATTAGAAAAGCGGTCAAAATTGTATTTATGAGTAGTTTTATTGAGTATTAGAAGCATATGTACACTTCTGAAAGAAATCAATAGCACAAAAATGTAACTGTTAGGTTTTAGTGTTTTGTTTATAAATAAGTAAAATGATGAAAAAAAGAACTGAAAAGGATTTGTTTTGTACATGTTAAATATGATTCTGCTCAAACCCCCCACCTCCCCTATCAACAAGTACTAGTTAAAAAAAAATGAACGGAAATTTAAAGCTATCTCTCGTCCGTCACACTTGCAAATTTTAAGTTGATGAGATCGTAAATTTCTAGTTCTCAAGCAAGACAGTCATTTCCATTGTATCCACAAAACTTGCGGTCAGAGTTTTTTCATTTCAATGAAGAAGAAAAAATACAGTAAAAAATAAAACAAAACAAAAAATAAAAAGATTGAAAAGATGGCAGGAAAGTTCTTAGCTGAGTTGCGGAAACTCGCATGCCACGGCAAACTACGAGGAAATAGGTGACAGCTTCACCAAGTGTGAATCGCCAATATAACTCGTTCGTCACGCCATTCTATGCATGACTGTGCAACGTAGTCATTTATTTTGATTTCAAGAGGCTGCAAACAAAAATCTTACGAAAATATTGCTATTGGAGTCAGCTATAAAGCATCAAGAGAATCATAAACTAAACTTCCCGGATCCCCGCTTTCTCTTACCGCCCGATCTAACGTTAAAAATATTTCATTGCTTTGCCTAGTTACACAAACCTTCCTGTGTAGCCGAGCAGCGATACAAACAAAATCCCAGACACCCAAAGAACAATAGATTTATACGCCAATGAACGGGAAACTTCGGTGACCTCTAACTGCGAACAAAGCCGTGAAGTAATTGTTTATTTACCATGTTGCCAGGTAACTGACGTCACAAAGGCTTTCTACCGTGGAAGATTACGACAAAGCTCTCGCTCCAGTGACCCAGAGCAATTTTGGTGTTTCCATGAATGACTTTTAGCTGAAGTTTCCTATACTTCTTGCGTCGAGTAGATCATTGCTGACTTCAGATTACTACAAGTTTATCATTAGCTAAAGGATAAGTTCGATGACACAGTGAAATTATGAGTGCTTACTTCGGATAACCGTCGAAGCTTCCAAGATGACCATCCCGATTATGGCAGACGAGTTAGTGATTGTGTTATTTTTAATCTCTTTGGTATTTGGTGTGCAGCGTGAGAAAAAAAACCTCGACTTAACCATTCCTCTTGCTTTAAATCACAGATCGTCCCGAGATGACGGAGAAACTTATACCTCCGTACCGGTTGTGGTCCTAACTGTGCATGAAGCACACGAAGAAACCCATGAGCAGCGATCGCATTTTAGCTATGAAGCTGAAGATGCTTTGCCGGTAAGTGACGTCTATCAAAAGAAACTAACCTTTTTGTTCATTAAGTTTGAAGGAACTTTCCACTAAATTTTCAAGCCATTCAGACAACTTATTCGACGAGATTCATGCTTTAAAACGTTCAGTTCCTGAGAAACGTGGAAAAGATCTTGCCTGTTTGTATACAAACTCGCGGCAAAATGATGGCGTCCTATTGTAATTTCCCGCGTATATAAGAATCCTTAATACGTACTTAACGATATATCTCGAATTATCTTTTAAACTTTCGTACTGTTTTGATTTTTATCTGTAGAGATGTAGTATTGTGTGGCGAAATATCCGGCGACGGAGCTGACTACGGAACCTTCTTTGTTGTATTGTAAAACATATTAGAAATGCCCTTTCATTGAACAGCTGAAATGTTGTGTCTAGCGGCGTCGTGCCGATTTTATTATCAGTCTCCTACACACATGTCGTGCATTTCGCATATGATAGAAATTTAACTATCGGTTTATTTTTCACCAGCTTCCTTCATCTAAGTACAGATACAGTAAATGGCATGAACTGGAAGACATGGATGTAAAAGGAAACATGCTCAGGTCTCCGAGGGTTAGAAGAAGTACGTAATTTAAACTGTTCTTTATCATTTAATCCAAATACCTCAATTTTCCTGGATTCTCGCAACATTTGGTTGGTCTGCTTTAGATCTGAGATAGCAGGTCTTCACATTATTTGTGAGGATGTAGTTTTGGAAAATTTTTCTCAATGGGTTGATTGTTCAGCTTTTGCAAAATTCAAGTCTTCATCTGAGCCAAGTGCCCAGCCCAGCGGAGATTATCTCGGTTTCCTTAGCGTGAAGGAACTATGGGATGCTAGTCCATTGCAAGGTTACTCCTCTGCATTTCCTCAAGCTATTCCTGAAAGTTTCCTGGTACCCATAGACACTCCTAGGTGGAGAAAGGCACCATCAAAATAACATGTTTTGTCCAAGAGCATAACTCATTGGCTCAGGCAGGTCCTAAAGTTTCACCTCTCGACCAAGGGTTCAGTACACTAACCATCATGCTGCGAGGCGTCTCCCACTCAGCATTTGAAAATTTCAATAAATTCCTGTAAGTCCATGAATCCAAGGTAACAAAAATATGAATTTATCTGAGGTCTAGGATGCTTCTTCACACTGAATTAGACAAAACATGTGAAATGAGATGACTCCCTATTTCTGTTTACATGTACATGTAATTTAATCACCCATCCCCCCACCTTCTTGAGTAAATGCTCTTTCCATTGTTTCCTTCACCTGAAAATGTATGCAAACTGTTGTGATTTTTATTTTTGCTTGTATCGATGCATGAATAAAGTCTGAAACCTTTTGATCTTCTCCAGCACCTCGAGAATTTAAAGTGGAGAATATTCGCAAAGTGGATGAGCAAGAAAGGGCAGAATTGGGAGACTCCGATGATGAAGAAGTCAGAGTTGCCCTACCCCTTAAAAAGAATAAACAGAAAAAAGTTCGGAATTACAAGAACAAGATGGAAAACTGGGAAAATGCGGAGGTAAGTTTGTTCCCTAATACATGTACACATTTTCTGATGTGAAATGTCTCAACCTGTAGTAGTATTTGGATAAAATTTCTGCAACATGCTTGTGACAGAGTTAAGTTTAGTTTTGTCAACTGAGCTGATCAATCTTGTTAATTGCCACTGGAAAAAGTTTTTAAAGCTGACATCTAGGGCATCATTCCTCTTTGACTGGCTTGAAACATCAACTTTAATAAACCCAAATTATCTTGTAACACTCCCCATTGATGCAGCACACAGATTCTTTAAAAACTTACCCCATTTATTCATTTTTGTTATAATGTTTTTTTTTTTCTCTTTTTCAGTCAGTAAATTTATCATATCAAGATTTAGGACATCCATATCAGAAGAAAGAGTTTCTACGGGTGCTTAGAAGACTTTTAAGATGCGAAAATTTGCAGCTCATGGAAAATTCAATACAAGATTTGAGCAGTGTTTTCCTTCCAAGGTAGGTCAAGTTAGAAATATTTTGTTGCTCTTCATGATATACTGAACCTGAGTTATAGTATATTAATAGAAATTTCAGGTTGACCTTGTCTGAAGTTATCACAATATTTTTTCAGGTGTTCACATCTTTTCCTGCAGAGAAATTTCATAACTGATTTAAGGGTAAGTGTCAAGAATTTTTTTCCCCTGTTTGTATTTAAGATAATTTTATTCATCTTTTACCTTCAGTTTTGTGAGTGAAATGTCAAGGGAATGAACCCTTTGACTAGCATCTAATTTCTCCTCAAAATTACACCCCTTAATAAAACATCTAGGTCACAAGACTAAAAGAAATGATTGCCAACTTTATAAAGAAACTCTTGGCTGTTAAACAACTTCTTGTCAGCACCTCAGGAAATTAATAGAGAACAGTATTAAAAATACACATACATGTAGATGATGTGCTTATGTTACCTGGTGTAAAAAGTTATGTTATGGGTGGAACTTGCAGATTCTTAAAAAAATTGTTTCTCTAAGTATCTATCTGACATTTTTATTCTTTATTCCTAGAAACTTCCCAGGGCTCCTATGCTTCTACACTTATCGCTGCAACAAAATAATGTGGAAAGTTTAAGAGGTCTAGAATTGCTGAGAAAAACCACAGTTCAGTCTTTAGTTCTTAAAGGGAATCCTGTGGAGTTAGACCCAAACTACAGACAGCAGTAAGTGATGAACTGTTTGATCTTTTTACAGTGCAATTTCTCTTTCTCTGTTGCTTGCGCAAACCTGACCATTCTGACTACAGTTGCAAGTGAGAAACTCCATCGTGTAGATTATTTTCCTTTTTATTAGCTGTGGTTTTAATGTCAGTTCCTTGTTTTAGTTTTGAGTTTTGACCTGAAAACTGGCGAGATATGCTTTTTCTCAACTATGTGCTGTCCAAGATTGTAACATCTATTTCCATTATGTGAAAGCCTCATTCTGTAACCAACCTTATTTTGGTTTACAGACTTTCTGTTGATCTTGTGATCAGCTGGTTCTCTCCTCTTAATAATTACCTCATTCTCTTGAGTAACTTTCCTCTGGTACCAGCATTGTTCTTAGCGTTTTGATGAAATTGAAAATTATCCACACAGTTAGAACAGAAAACAAGATGTAATTTAGGATCCGTTGTGATCTGTTATTATGAACTCAAGGTGTTTTGTGAAGACATCATGAATCAAGGAAGCTAATGGGAAATTTTTGTTTTTCTTTATTCAGGGTTTTTAGAATTTTACCCAATTTGCAGCTTCTGGATGGAATCCCAAGGTTAGAGAGTGATGATGCAGATGTAGCAGTGGATTCAAAGACATGTATTGTGTCATAGCTAAAAAACACTCTGTGTGTTCTACACTCATGTTGTGGACTTCATGCCTGGACTAAGAAAGGATCTCCTGGACCATGTATGGGACTGCGCTAAAGGTCCCTCTGATCCAAGACTCACGCAGACGGAAAGTGATGAACGTTCTTCATTCTGATAATTTGGACCAGAAGACCTTCTTCACTTACAGAGGGAACAGCTTTCTATCCTACAACAAATTACTAAAATTATGGTTGAGCCAAGAATTGTCCAAATAAGACATTTTTATGTCACTCTACACCATAACTTTTAAGTCTACAGATTGCAGAATATTCTACATTCTAATAATTTGGACCAGAAGTTATACATGTAGTTTACTTGCTGAGGGTATATCTTTGCATCCTACTGTGGATGAATCAAATTATGGTGTAAACAAGAATTGACCAAATAAGAACACATCTATATGTCTGCACTAAATTTTAGCAGTTTTCCTGTATAGTACAATTATTCTGTAACTCATTGAGGGTATTTTAGATGCAAACAAATACGAATGTAGTAAAAAAATTCTTATTGACAGTTTATGGAACGGTTTCTCAGTCGTTTTTGAATAGGTGATGTGTTAATTGATTTAGTGAATCAAATTTTTACAAATATGCATAACATTTGTGAATGTATGTAAATATATTTTTATGTACCATATTATAAGCTAACAAAGAAAATTTTGTAAAGTATTTATTTTTACTTTCCTCTAGAAATGGTGAATAAAATCTAGATGATACGAACAATGTTAGCTTAATTGATTTGCACAGCGTTATATCACAGCCAAAGGGGATTTGAAACCTTTTTTGCAGTAGGCAAAACTGCCTTAAACTTTCTGGGCTTTTAAAAAATAATGGCACTGTTGGATGACACAACAAAAAGCCGGCTACAATTAACAAAGAAGGAACAGAGATGGATGAGGTTGAGAGGATTAATAGACAAAGGGTCCAACGAGCTTACGAAATGATCATGTTTATTGTTTTCGTCACAAGCTTGAACTACTGTGAACTTGGTAAGGGCCTTGCTCATAACTGCGAAAATCCGAAGATCTTTCGTTCGAATCCTCTTGCGAGACAAATTTGTAAAATTTAATTTGTCTCTATCTTTATAAATGATAAGGCCCTTTCTAAGTTCACACGCGACAGGCGCCTTGCTGTCTGCCAGGAACAAAACATGTCCGAGTCGAAAGATTAAGGAAGCCGGAGAAAATTTAATGCCCGTTTACTGAGTCACGCGATCTCAACTGTCATACTTGATTGCAATATTATTTGCTTTGCCTATTGTCATCAGTAGGGATCAGAGTTGGTTCCTGATGGTGTTGCGGCCTTCAGGGCCGAGAGATATAATTCACGAAGAATCATTTCCCCTCTCTCATCACATTTCCTCACTGTGTCCCGAAGGACTACAGGTAAGGATCACCCTAACTGATGATTACGTAGTCACGTGCTCGCAAGGTGTTTAAATGCTCAGTCGATCTAACGCTTGTGGGGCTCACAACTAGGAAACGTGTATTTTGCCAGTTATATTCGCGTTACCAGCACTGGGGAACATGATTAGTAGATGGGAATCGCGAGAATTTCTGAAAGACGTGATGTTATTGAACACACAGTGATGTTTTAAGATTTCTTACTTTACGCATGCGCATTTAAATCCTTTCTCTCTTGAGCTAAAGGATAAAATATTCTCTTTTTATATGATGAGAAAAATACCAAATTAAAGACTTCGAGGGCAAAAGTATATTTTAACAACAAAAATTCAGTTTTGAATCCATCTCAGTCATTTCGCCCTCCTGACGTATGCGATACGGTGCTCGGGACATTTTTTGCGCTACTACTGTTTTGCAAAACGAAGCGTTCCCCGTCTACTATGACCATGAAATGTCAGCGTCGTTACTCTTTGACCTAGCATCTCAGTAGGAAAACACCGTAAGAGCAGTAAGTGGTGTGGTCTTTGCTTCGTTTGTTTGGACAATTCACTTTTTTCTTTCACGCGCGACCATGCTAACACGCGTGTATCCCACCGCCCAGCGCGTAGCACTATCGTTTATCAGGCAAAAAAGTCCACCTTTATAAAAGCAATCACTGGGAAGTTTAGTGAAGGATTTAATTACGTAAACAACAGATAACAAGAAAAGTTATATAAAATGTTCTTTATTTTTTATTCAGTCTGTGCATTAACGTGAAGGTCTCGGACTGTCGCTTTCCTTGCGGGAAGTATTGACCCGGAGTTCGCCGAGTTCAACCACACACTACAGGCCTGATTTTAAACCGATTTATTCCTTGGTTACCACTGAAGCATGCGGTGAAAACTACAACATTATAAAATTTACGCGTTACGCAACGAAAAAGCTGCGAATAATGAGAACTCTCCGTCAACGAACGAAATAAGCGGCAGAGGATAAACTAAAATTAAAAATAAGCGGCAGAGGATAAACTAAAATTAAGCTTACGTTATAACTCCTGCTGGCTGTGTGAAGGCAAAAAGGATTTCTCCAACTCCTAAATTTCTCCGTAGAAGCGACGAACGCGTGTATCTTAAAGTTTGCTGAGGTCGTTCCTTTTACAAAGGTCGTGAAAAGATCGGGTTACGGAGTTGGGAAAGATGGCGATGATTAACTTAATTACACAATAAAGTCACGTGCGTAACGCAAGTGTGTTGCGTTGTTCGTGACACGGACTTCATCCTTCAAACTTGCAAACATTAATCATCTGAACTACGTCCATGGTTGAATAAAGGCTACACTGGGGGATATAACTGCGTTTAAGCCACATCCTGTCGTTGGCCTCGCTTCAGCATCTTACGGGTCGTAAAATCTATTCCGTTTACCAATAAAAACTAAAGCAAGTTTAAAAGTAAAAAAGTTAAAGCGTAAAAAGAATCTCGAGTCGAGTTCCAAAGTCCAAAACTCAACGAATCCGACACGTCACACCAAAGTCATAAGATATATAATTATAAAAGATATATATATTGTGGGAGGAAAAAGACAAGTAAACTACAAGTTCATCCCTACAAGCCTGTTTCGTGGTTGCCCACTCATCAGGGGATTTCCCTGATTTCGCCCACTCATCAGGTGATTTCCCTCATCAGGGGATTTCCCTGATGATAATCCCCTGATGAGTGAGCGACCACGAAACAGGCTTGTAGGGATGAACTTGTAGTTCACTTGTCTTTTTCCTCCCACAATATATACTTCGCTCTACTTCTATGTATTGAGCACTTTTCTACGAAAATCAAGTCACAGTTTAATTATAAAAGACATATAACCACGTGATTGGCGTAACGCGTAACGCAACTTTAAATATCTGTAACACGGTTGTCCATGTTAAAATCCGAATTGAAAGAGCACGGAAACGTGAGCCGAGCAATCGAGGAGGGAAGATTAGGGGAGAGTGTGTAGCCTTCGTCCACTCTTCCCAAGCCTCTTGTCTCTTTTTTCCCTCAATTTTGCCCCTTTTCACTGAAGTTATTACCGTGAGTATTTTATGGATGAAGTTCACGGTAACGGCAGAGGGCAACAACTGAACAATGGTTGATAAGTTTGCTTACTTGTGTCATTAACCTATCCGAAAACCCTATTGGAAAATGACAAGGGTTCTTTGTTCTCTTCTTATACACAACCTTGCAATTTAGGTTAAAAAGAGGCTCGACGCCGTATGCCTTAAATGCCATGTCAAACCTGTCTGTTATAGAGGTTTTGCACAGCAGCCATGTTGGATTTCAGGAACAATGAAAATATTTTGCACAAGAAAAAAAATTTTTTCCCATGGGTAAAATAATCTATTGTTCCTGCCATCCAACATGGCTGCTGTGCAAAACATCTAGTACAGACCGGAAGGTTGAAAAAAGTCAGCAGCTGTCTTTTACCGCGATGTTGCTTCCTGTGTGGGACTATTTTTGGAACACCTTGAGCTATTCCTGTGGTAATCATAAACACCCGCACGTACCAGGATACTTTAAACTTTCAGGATTCTCGGGGGAAAAGAAGAAAAACAATTAAAAATAGAGAACGCTTCCTTTGAGATATATTTGTTGGTAATAGATGTATAATATAATGGAACCAGAAGGAAAAATAATAAGTCAAGATGGCGCGCCTACTTTTGTTTTCAAAACTATTTTATCTTTGTTTTTCGACAAAAATTCTACGGATCACCTGTATACATGTATGATTATGTGACTGGCAAGAACACACGGCAATCATGAATTTCACATATACTAATCGTTTCGTTCCAACCTCCGACAACTTGAAAGATAGATTTGGATTGATTTTATTATCGCAGACATTCAAGAATATGGAAATTCTGATCAGCAATTGGAAAAATGTACACAAATTGATCATCACTGTTCTACCCACGCGACTAATCATTGGAGCCTAGGCAAATCATTAACGCAATTTTTGACTACTTTCGGGTAAAGAAGACCCCATTTTTATTCAGTTCGTAAATTGTAGATTGTCGAATCGATATCTACAATCCTCTCGTCAACACATGTAGTTAAAAATATAAAATTGCATCGAATGTGTAGGGTGTAAGACATTACAGGACAGCTTCATTTCCATATTTCTATTTTTTTTTTATATTTTTTTTTATTTTGGTAGTTATTTTTGTTCTCTTCATTGTGAAGAGATAGAAGCTAAGCATAGTAGAAATACTCCTAGTCGCTTCATGCTACAGAAACCGGAGCTAAGCACCGGCCTAATAGGCCACTAGGCTCGTAAACAGACTTCACCTACCTTACCTATAGTATTTTTGCTGCAACTAAAATAATCTCCACTATGAGTCTAAATAATGGGCCAAACCTGCGACCAGGAATTTCTTCAAGGCAAAATGGTTGTTTCTTAAATTATTATAACCGCCACTTAGACATCATTCAAGTTTTAGGATCCATAATCTCTTGGATCATGAATAACTTATCTCAATAAAAAAAATGGCCCAAAGAAGCAAGTAACAAGTTCGCTCTAATGATCGCATTCCAGACCATCTTATTGGATTGTTTGTGTTCGTCATGGGCCATGTAGATAAAAACCGTAAATCATTAAAAATTCTTGAATTTACTCCTATGTGTAAAGGTGTGCTGGCCAATTTCCATAACTTGATTTAAAAGCCTCGTTCTCGTGACCGACCTCGTTCTCGTGAACCTCGACTCGAGCTCAGTTCTCCCGGTTCTCTCCTCTTGACAAGCCTCAGTCTCGTCGGAGCAGCCTGATTCTCGCGGGAATCTTCCTACTCGAACTAGCATCGTTCCCAGTGGGAGCGCCTCGTTGAGGTAAGAAGCCTCGTTGTCATCATTCCGTGTACCATAACGTCCTCAATTGAGGATACAGTTAATCCGCTACATGCTAGTATACTTAAAAAAACATGTAACACCCAGATGCGACTGAAATGGCTTCCTTATATTTATTCTGCCAAAGTGTGGCTTCTGTTTCTTCCTTAGCTAAAATTTCCGCCATGTTGGCACATCTTCTCCATAGCTTGGCTCGTCTCTCCTTTAGAAATGAACCCTCTTTCTCTAAGTGATCCGCCATTTGAAGCTGCTTTGCTTTGTTTCTGACTGCTTCTTCTATGTTACGCTGTCGGAGAACACAGATCATACTGATTAGCTTACCAAGATCGACAGATTAAAACTGAGTTCTCCCCTCCAGCCGATATAAACTTCCTCCTAAATTAGTGAGTAGAATATAAGGTGTTGAACAAAGAGAGTAACCTCTGGTTGATAAGTTTGTCCCGCTAAATAAGACCATAATTTCATCTCACAAAGGCACGAATTACAAAAGGGGAATATTTAGTGGCTGACCCAAACGAAAAGTTCTCCCTATTGTTTGTAACATGATCAACTTTTAACTTTGCAGATTTTGTATCCATAGAGCTCGGAAACTGCGATTGGACCGACTTGGGAATGAAATATTTTTCTTCTAGAATAAACTTTTACCTCGATTATTTCCTTTTCTTCGTGAATTTGACTCGTCCTTCGTTTTGCGTACTCCGCTCTTCTCTCAGCAAGCTTAGACGCCACCTCTCGTCCGAACTGTTTTATGTCGTTTCTTTGTCGTTCTGCTTCGTAGCCAGAAACGAAGATTGGCGAGGACCTTCCGGAATCACAGGGAGGGGGAAGCTTTTCTTTAGTCTAAATACCGGAGAAGACAAAAGGAAAAAAAAAGTTAATGGCTTGCTATTTGAACCGTTTTTACATCAAACACGAAGCTCTCAACTTGAAAAAGTCCCTGGATCTTCCCAAGGATAAAAGCCTTCTTATGCACGTGTTGTTCACGCCCGCGTTTGAAGCGTGTTTACTGTACCACGTCGCTTCAAAGCCATTTCAAGTAAATTTAGATCTTACGTCTCTTGATTATTTAACCAAACTTTTGGTTAGTAAAGTTTCCTTTCTTCCTGCCATACTTTTCCTTGAGCTTAACTTAATCGATCAAAACCAACCTCTGAAAGCTACCTAGCTTTTCTAGGCTAAAGTGCGTGCTTTACCTCAACTATGTTTGCAATCGGTGGGTAAAGCAATTCCGGTGACCGAGACCTCTCACGGTCATCAGTGATCGGGAAAAAAAAGCTATCGCTGGGGGAGCTGGGGCTATCTGCTGTCTGTATCTTAACTTCGATGCTGGACAAATCCTGTCGAGGAAAGAAACAAGGTAAGTCATTGTATAAAGGCTGATAGTTTCGAAAGAAACTGTTTGGGGCTGCGTCGGTGGGGGTAACGAAATAATTTGGACATATCAACAAAGTTGAAATGGTAACATAAAATCCGAATTGAAAGAGCACGGAAACGTGAGCCGAGCAATCGAGGAGGGAAGATTAGGGGAGAGTGTGTAGCCTTCGTCCACTCTTCCCAAGCCTCTTGTCTCTTTTTTCCCTCAATTTTGCCCCTTTTCACTGAAGTTATTACCGTGAGTATTTTATGGATGAAGTTCACGGTAACGGCAGAGGGCAACAACTGAACAATGGTTGATAAGTTTGCTTACTTGTGTCATTAACCTATCCGAAAACCCTATTGGAAAATGACAAGGGTTCTTTGTTCTCTTCTTATACACAACCTTGCAATTTAGGTTAAAAAGAGGCTCGACGCCGTATGCCTTAAATGCCATGTCAAACCTGTCTGTTATAGAGGTTTTGCACAGCAGCCATGTTGGATTTCAGGAACAATGAAAATATTTTGCACAAGAAAAAAAATTTTTTCCCATGGGTAAAATAATCTATTGTTCCTGCCATCCAACATGGCTGCTGTGCAAAACATCTAGTACAGACCGGAAGGTTGAAAAAAGTCAGCAGCTGTCTTTTACCGCGATGTTGCTTCCTGTGTGGGACTATTTTTGGAACACCTTGAGCTATTCCTGTGGTAATCATAAACACCCGCACGTACCAGGATACTTTAAACTTTCAGGATTCTCGGGGGAAAAGAAGAAAAACAATTAAAAATAGAGAACGCTTCCTTTGAGATATATTTGTTGGTAATAGATGTATAATATAATGGAACCAGAAGGAAAAATAATAAGTCAAGATGGCGCGCCTACTTTTGTTTTCAAAACTATTTTATCTTTGTTTTTCGACAAAAATTCTACGGATCACCTGTATACATGTATGATTATGTGACTGGCAAGAACACACGGCAATCATGAATTTCACATATACTAATCGTTTCGTTCCAACCTCCGACAACTTGAAAGATAGATTTGGATTGATTTTATTATCGCAGACATTCAAGAATATGGAAATTCTGATCAGCAATTGGAAAAATGTACACAAATTGATCATCACTGTTCTACCCACGCGACTAATCATTGGAGCCTAGGCAAATCATTAACGCAATTTTTGACTACTTTCGGGTAAAGAAGACCCCATTTTTATTCAGTTCGTAAATTGTAGATTGTCGAATCGATATCTACAATCCTCTCGTCAACACATGTAGTTAAAAATATAAAATTGCATCGAATGTGTAGGGTGTAAGACATTACAGGACAGCTTCATTTCCATATTTCTATTTTATTTTTTTATTTTTTTTTATTTTGGTAGTTATTTTTGTTCTCTTCATTGTGAAGAGATAGAAGCTAAGCATAGTAGAAATACTCCTAGTCGCTTCATGCTACAGAAACCGGAGCTAAGCACCGGCCTAATAGGCCACTAGGCTCGTAAACAGACTTCACCTACCTTAC